AAAAAACAAAATTTAAAAAAAAAAAAAAAAAAAAAGGAAAGAAATTTACTGTTGACTCTTTGTATTAGTGGTGATTTGGTTGAAGCAAAAACCAGAGGAGGAAAGCGGAGACCAGAGACCCTGGCTGCTGCAGCTGGAGTAGTGGGTAGAGTGGTATCTGGGAGGGTGCCCAGGTGCCTCTTGGGCCATGTACAACCCACAGAACACCACTTGGACAGCCCTACTTACTTTCTGTCCTCCTGCAATTATTCACGTTGTTCATTTTGCTACTATCCGTGTATATATTAGAAGTTTCTAAACATTTATTTTCCTTCTTTTCACTTTCATTACATTTCAAAAGGTACTTCTGGCCAAAGATTATTATGATAGCCATCCTCGAAATGATTCAACAACCCCTAAGTTGCATATAGCAGGAAGGAAACAAGCTGCATCTGCTACCCTGGAAAGAAAGAAAACGCAGGTAAGCCAACTTCCATTGAAAGTTAACTTTCACAGCCAAAAATTGCAGAAGGAATTGACATATTCAAGGATCAGGACCAAGAGGTTCAAGCTTTATATGAAACTGTTCATATTTCTGCACCCCAAACAAGTGACCGGACGTCTTAGTTGAAAGCAGCCAGCACCTATGGAAATTGAGTCTTATCCTTCAGACTTTCAGGTCTGAATAATGTTAGCGATTGTGTTTTTTGAAGCATGGAAGTTGCTGTTACAAATGAACTGAATATTTATTCTACAGTGTTTTAAATACAAGAACAAATTTTCTTTTTAGATGCATTTGCAAGAGCAGGAGCCTATTAGGAGATGTCTGCTGGTGCTAGGACAAAGTGATTTATTAATGTGGTGTTCTAGTACATCTAAAAATAATAGACATCTGTAGTCTGAACAATTACTATTCTATTAAGTTTTGATGCATTTTTCCATGTTAAAATTTGGTTCGATTTTTAAGCACACACTTATTTTGTAACTAAAGTATTCATAGCATAGCATATGCCACAAAAATTCATCCTTAACATTTTTTTGCACCTAACTTTCCCAGGAAAGTTCCAAGACCAGTGGTAAGAAGAGTCAGATTCCAGTGAAGTTGGATTTGGGAGATATGTTGGCTGTCTTGGAGCAGAAACAGCAAGCAGAGAAATCGAAACAGTCCTCCAAACCTGTGGTGCTTTCAGGTCTCAAGTGCTTTCTTCAAATGAATTGTGATGAATCTCAAAATAATGAGAACCTTCTAATGTGTGTATAGTAGGGTGAAGTCCCTAGGGGTGGCAGTGTTACCCCTAGGCTCTTTAACTGTGCCAGTCTTGCCCTACAGGCACCTTCTATCTCGCCCACCACGTCTTGTTGTTAAAATTGATATAGGGAGGCTGCCCTTGATCTCTGGGTCTTCAAGGTAATCAAACATGAGCCCCTGGGCTATAACGTAACCCAAAGTTCAAGGCATGCTCTGCCCCTTTAAAAGAGTAAAACTTCTTCTCTAATACTAGGCGTCTGTAGGCGATGGTACATTATGGGCTCCTGGTGCCCCATTAGCCCTAACGCTAGCATATCCAATGACTGTAGTGTCTCTGAGCCCTTCCTTCCTGACGGCTCCTTCCCCTTCAGCTGCTGGCAGGGAACTGAACTGCCTGATCCCAGCCCTGGGGTTTACATGGGCCTAGGTCCCTGCCTTGTCCAGCCAGCTAACCAGGTGCAGGTGCGGCCAATTCCCTCATTAGTCATGGCAACCTGCACCTGGGCTCTTATCTGGCTCCTTCTCTGGCTCTGTGTGTTCCCTCCCCAGGCAATCTCTGCTCTAAGAGGAGCAGCCACCTTAGTGCCCTGTGACAGTGTGATAATGGGCTTGCCAAAAGGAACATACAAGAAAAACAAAATGGTTATGAGAAAATGAACAATAACTTGAAGTGCTTGAGGAAGAAAACCACAATACAATTAAAAAGCCATTTTTCAGAGGGTAGGGAATATGGTTGAAAGTTAAACCAGAGGGCAGCGGGTTGGTATTTTTGGCCCTTTTTCTGCTTTGATGCAAATGTCAAAGTTCATTTTGGCTTCATAGCATCATGTTATTTTAAAAAATAAAAGTATCAAACCTTGTCTGCTCTGGCTTTTGATTAAGATCTTACTGACAACTGAAGAGCCAGTAAGATTTTAACACCAAATGAGAATCCTGGAACCTAAACAAATTAAACAATTTTAAGATCTGTTTCACAAAATGGAGTACTAAGTTTGCTGTCATAAATTGGTCTCCTTGTTTTGGAAGTGTGAAGAAAGCTAGACTGAGGGGAAAGAAAATCAAAACCAGAAAGAAATTACTTTTAATACCATAGTTGCCTTTAGGTTTTTGAGGGATAGGCAAAAACATTAACTGTTTGTAAGATTTACCTAGTCCCATTGTGAAAACTTAGTAAAAGAATTAAGTGTCTCTTACTCTGCAAATAATTTCTCTTCTGTCATTAAGGCAGTTAGATATATTATTAACAGTCATCAGTTGTATAATAGTACAAATTACTCTGATGCAAGTACTTGTGTTGGGACTTGGGAGGAGCAAGCATTTGGGGATCAGAATGTCTGATCTTTAGTATTAGTAACGTTGGACTATATGAGCCAGGCATTGTGGCCTAAGAGGAACGAAAATGTTTGGTTGTACCCAGGAAGGGATAACACCACCGTTGCATCAGCAAGAGCTTTTGTGGGGACTTGGATACATACAATAAATCACTTCAGGGTAGGAACCAAAAGTTTGAGTCTGGCTTAGACTTTGTCCCATGCCATTATGGTAACGTGCAAAGTAAAAGAGAGCACGAAAAGTCAGTAAAATGCAGTAGTGGGTGCATTACTGGGTGCAATACATTACTGCCCTTTTTAACTGGTACTTCATTTTGTGAATTACGACTACTGTATAGACAGGAGAGTGGCTCAATCATGAGCATTTGTATATGAATGTCTGTATCATCTAGAAAGCAGTCACACCCTTGCTGTGATATATTACTAGAAGTTGGTGTGACAGGTTGAGACTAACACAAGTAGATTAATTGGTCCTACCAACCACTTACTTATCTCTTGTGACCCACCTCCCACCAAAGTCTGTCAATTTTTTTAAATCATTTAATTTATACAGATACACTTAGACTTACGCACTGATTTATGTTTGCAAATCCTGAAAGTTTTACCAATGTTACTGCACTGCAGTCATGTAACTGGTATGAAATCCAAGAGGAAGGAGAATCCTGTTGTTAAGACAGTAACTTTGGGCTTGGGAGATCCAGGTTCAGTTAACTGCTTTGCCAACAGGCTTCCTGTGTAGCATTGGAAAGTATCTTAGCATCACATTTCATTAAAATGGGGATAACAGTACTTCCTTGTCTCATAGGGGTATTGTGAAAGAATGTGAAGTTTTGCAGTGGATGTGGAAGCTTATAGGGCATTTGTGGACATGCTTGTGATGCAGCGCTGCATGCTTTTAAAAGTGCCCGGCACTGCGGCACATAAATTTATATAAACAGCAAAATGTGCATCAGTGCAGAGAAAATGGCAGCAGGACACTTTTGAACTGAAACCCATCAAAGGTGTTTTAGTTCAAAAGCGCCCTGCCACTATTTTCTGCATGCTGACGTGCATTTTGCCACTTGTACAACTGCATGCTACGCAGTGCAGTGTACGTCAGCTTGCTTGTGGAGCAGATTCGATTTAATAGGTTCCTGAGGTTACTTGCTATTTATTTAATTTTAGTAGGAATTGGTTGAAGCTACTTGGCAAATTATTTGCCACTAGTAGGAGGGGAAGGAGGGCTAAGGCAGTGGTTCCCAAACGGGGTTGCAACATCAGAGGATGGGGTCACAATAAACAGGGATCCAGTTTTTCTGTTTGCTGCAGAAGAACACGGATTTTCTCCATAAAGGAAAAAATATGGGAAAATGCAGGTTTCCCTTTGCAGGCTGGCAGAGTTCCTGAGGCCCTCCCTCCTGCACTGGGTCCTGCCTGCTGGGCTGCAGAGTCCCAAGGGGGAGGGTAGCAGAGCAGGAAGCCCTAAGCCTGCAGTGGGCAACCCGCATCCTCCCCCCCACGGGCTCTGCTCCAGCCATGCCACCCACATGGGATGGGATGGGGAGGGGTGCAACTGGGCTCTGCGCTCTGCTCCGGCCGCAGCAGCTGCCACCTCCCTGGTTTTAAGGTATCCACAGCAAATAATTCCAGGGACTCTAGTGCTGAAGTCCAGCACAACCCTGGAAGTATCACAGAGTACATGGAAACAGAGGGCTGGAAATCCCAGTTGATGAATCCAGTAGAATTTCAGATTTCCTAAAGCTTACCAAATTGACATAATTTGAAACAGTCTGGATTGCAATAAGTTGCATAATTTTTCTATGTGTGTTTGAGGTGGAGGGATCAGAGCTAAGTAAGCTGGTGGCATAAGACACAGATGAAGTAACCTTACTTTGGGGGGAGAGAAAAGTGGACGGGTGGATTTTTATGTTTCCTGGTGATGCTGCACTGACTGAAAGTGTTCTTTATATTGCTCCATCATGATTTTATTGTGTTTTGCTACTGCAGAGGCAAACTTTAACTGGATGTGGATTTTGTTAGGTGCTAACGTTAAGTTACAGGTGTCTGACGCTTACTGTTTTCTTAATTTCAGTTGGTGGTGCCATACCACTTCTTTCAAAGGAAGCTAACACGGTTACAAAAAATCAGCAGTTGAACCAAGGAAAAACACCTCATAATCCACTGGACTCCAGCGCTCCTTTGGTAAAGAAGGGAAAACAGAGAGAAGTCCCCAAGGCAAAGAAACCAACACCGCTTAAAAAGGTGCTCTAACTTTTTACCCTTTTATTAAAAGCTAGTATAACCTGACTGTTCCTCTGATTTGATTCTTTTGAAACATATTGGCATCATAAAATTTCTTGACCTGCATTTCCACTTTGCTACAAATTCAATATAAATCCTGGGTTTTTGGGGGGGTTTAATTAACAAAAAAATTTGGATACAGTCATGTTAAATAATTAATTTTTTTCAACTCCACACCCCCTACTCCATTTAAATAATTGTTATGGGAGGGAAATACCACATTTCCTAGATATAACATGCCCCAAATAAAATATGTATCTTATTTTTGGAAGGTAGAATTTTAAAAAATTATAATAAGGAAAAGGAGTCCCCCTTGCGACTCTGTTTCTAACATTGTGACTGACTGCATGATATAGTGTAAGTCCTCCTGGAAACAAATGTGTCCAGGAAGCATGGTGTCCCAGGAGACAGTTTGAGAGAGGGGTAGGAACGTCTTGCTGCCTGTTGCCTCTCCCAGACTCTCTCTTGGGATGTCATACTTCTTAGATGCTGTTTTCAAGAGGATTTACTCTGTATCACACAAGGTTAGGCCTAAGATCCTTGCAAGGGAGTAGCAAGACCTTTTAGTTCTTCATATAAGTGCCTGTAAATAATAAAGTGTTGTTTCCACATACCGTCAAGATGCTACCAGCAGCTCGCTTGCTTCTTCAGGCCCAAGCTACAGTGCTTAGCCAATAGTTACAACTGTGAGAGGGTTAATACAGGACTCTGCCCTTTTAGATTGCTGACCCAGACAGGAAGCAAGAATTTTGGCAGCTGCATTGTGTGGCCAAATATGCTTCTTTTTCAGCAAAGAAAACTACTTCCCTGCTTAATTCATGCACCTGAATTCAGGGGAGCTGATTTTTGGGGCAAAGGTGGATATTATATGAGAGAAAATGTGGTACATTAACGTCAGTTGAGCCAAGCTGTGCTCACTCTAGGACTGAAGTAGATGGGACAAGGCAAAAGCCATGTGTTTTGTTTTGTTTTTTAAGCCACTTTGTGTGTTCATTCAAGGTAAAGATGGTCTGATCACCAGTATTAGGCAGCTAAGCCCTTTCTCTGATCTTTAATTTTTAAGATTATTTTGAAAGAGAGAGAACAAAGGAAGCAACAGCATCTGTTAGAACAGGCTGCGATTCCAAAAGATAAAGACACTGTTCATCAGCGTGTCAAATCTTCTGCTGAAGATCAGGCTCAGGATACCAAAGCAGGTATTTCCTCTTGCTTCATGTTTTCCTGGTGTGGGAGAGGCTTTTGTACCACACCAACATGGTATCAATGCTGTCCTGCTTTCTGATTGGTATAATAGGTCATCAAAGAGGCGGGTGTGATGGCACTTGCACCTATAAAACTTCTGTGCAAGTCTAGTAAAACAAACTGGCATGTGGCTCAGGCATCTGGCATGCTTTCCTAAAAGGTTCTTTGCAGAGCATGGCAGCGTGTCATCTGAAAGCCTGGGTCTGTACTGTTGCACAATCTGAATTCTAGTTGTTGCCCTCTTCCTGCCCACATTGTATTTACTCTTTTTAATTGTAGAACCAGAATATTGGGGTACTGGAGGTAGATCTTAAATATCTGTATCTAGCAATCGGATTAGAAAAGAAGTGATGTTACAAACTCACC